CAAAATGCATGCTTTACTTATTTGTGAATGCATGACTTTAGTGTTCCACTCCCAACAAATTTATCTATGTGCATGTTCAATACTTAGCTTAAAGTTTTGAGTTTTCGTGTCCAATATGTTTGATGGGTTACGTTAATTCCTAAAAAATTGATGAAGTTGGAGATGCTTGAGAAACTGTAGTACTTATTGGTGGAATGTAACAATTTAACATATAGGTAGTATTCCATTGCATTTCCGCATCTTTAATTTCTTTATATTACCAATTCATAGGAAAATATTGTGCATGTATAAACTTATTGATGTAAATTAATAGTATTAATAAATTATTATTTCCTAATAAAATTACATAATAATTAGTAAATCATTTTTTTATTAAACAATTATGTTATTACGCAGAATTTGCAAAGAATATTACTCATTAATAGATATTACTCCGTATTTACTTTCCATATAACAATTTCTTACTAATTAATCTTTATTAATTCTTTTACCAATAAATTAATTAATTAATATTAAAAAAATTTTAGGGCGAAAATTGAAGAGTATGATTTTCAGCGCACGATGCTCACAATTTTCAGCACGCTGCTAAAGATTCCTCGCCATCGTCAATGCCTGATGCATAGCATATGTATCATGCAGACGGGGATTCCTCTAATAAATTTCATCCCCAGATAGATTGGTCTAAAATACGACATTTATGGTGGCACGATGATTGATCAATTTCGGGTGTCTATATTCAACAGATGAATAAGCATTGTCAATATGGATGCACATATGCCTGGATCCTGCAAGAACACTCAAATGTATGTAATTACTAGATTATACACATAATGGTCGTTTGATTGTTTATGCAAATGTTCATATATTTCAGGAGATATGTACTGAAAAATGTGTATAGACCCACCTTTCTTAACGTTAGTGTATTGCTCTTGCAAAGGAATGTGTTGAAGGATTCAGACTTGGCGGGTTTTGCTCTCTTTCGCGAAAAATAGTGCTATATGGTTTAGATTTTTTGAATGCTTGAGAGTGGAGACTTTGGGAAGAAGAAAGTCCTGATATATATTTAATAAAAAAAAAGGTGATTGGACGGACGGAGAGGCGTCTGTCCCGTCAAATCACACTAACGGTGAAATTTCAAAACGGCACCATTTCATAGATAGGCGCACAGTCCTACGTGCAACATGGTGTATGGTATAACGATTGGACATAAGTCAAACCAAGCGGGCTTAAGAAAGCATTAAAGCACCCATAACCGGGTGTTCATATACCATTATGGGTGCTCTGATACCATGTTGTAAACATAGATACCATTATGAGTGTTCTGATACCATGTTATAAACATAGATACCATTATGAGTGCTCTGATACCATGTTTGATTAATTTTAGATGAGTATTCAAGAAAAGCTAAGTTACTGAAAATGCCATCAATTATATTTCAAATCTCAAAATGCATGCTTTACTTATTTCTGAATGCATGACTTTAGTGTTCCACTCCCGACAAATTTATCCATGTGCATGTTCAATACTTAACTTGAAGTTTTGAGTTTTCGCATCCAATATGTTTGATGGGTTACGTTAATACCTAAAGAATTGATGAAGTGGAAGATGCTTGATAAACTGTAGTACTTATTTGTGAAATGTAAAAATTTAACATATAGGTAGTATTCCATTGAATTTCCGCATCTTTAATTTCTTTATATTACCAATTAATAGGAAAAGATTCTGCATGTATAAGCATATTGGTGTAAATCAATGGTATTAATAAATCATTATTTCCTAATAAAATTACATAATAATTAGTAGAGAAAATTTCAATTTTGATCCACTGACTATTAGAGTTGTGTTAATTGCAACACTTGACTTTCAAAAATGTTAATTTAGTACTTTGACTATGCAATTTCTATCAATTTTGGTCACACCAGCCAAATTGCCGGCCAAGTCTCACCGGAAAAAATTAATAGGTCAATTTATTAGGGTATTTTAATAATTTTACTCATCTTTTTTCTTCTCCAATGAGCTTCCCAATTTCCGGCGAAGAGGAACAAGAACAAGAAGAAGACGATGATGATGAAGAGCAGATTTGAGTTCTCCAGATCTGTGCATGTACAGGTTCCTAGCGACGACGAGTACACTTATTCACAGAATTTTGATAAGGGTTCTAACTGGGATGAAGCTGATCAGCTCTTGAGATCTTTCTCCGTTCGCTATCCTGATCGATCAAGGATGATGATTTTCAAGTAGCTTCAATTCGTTAGAATGTGATGATGATCATAAGTGAAGGTACAGAGATTCATGAGTTGATGTATATCTCTGCTTGTGTTCTTCATTCGATGGAAATTGGGAAGATCATTGGAAAAGAAAAAAGATGAGTAAAATTATAAAAATACCCTCATAGTTTGACCTATTAAATTTTTTCGGTGAGATTTGGCCGGCAATTTGGCTGGTGTGATCAAAATTGATAGAAATTGCATAGTCAATGTACTAAATTAACATTTTTGAAAGTCAAGTGTTGCAATTAACACAACCCCAATAGTCAGTGGACCAAAATTGAAATTTTCTCTAATTAGTAAATCATTTTTTTATTAAACAATTACGTTATTACGCAGAATTTGCAAAGAATATTACTCATTAATAGATATTATGGAGTATTTACTTTCTATATAACAATTTCTTACTAATTAATCTTTATTAATTCTTTTACCAATAAATTAATTAATTAATATTAAGAAAAGTATGAGTGCGAAAGTTGAAGAGTATGATTTTACTTTTATTAATAGTATAGAAATATAGATATAGATTTTAAGAAATTATGGATACTATATTACTATTAAAATATTTTATAAAGTCAAATCTATTATTTTTTATCAAACAATTCTTATACATCTACTAATAATGTAAATGCTATATATATGTGTGTGTGAATAATAATACCAATTCATAAATTTTTAAATTAATGGCCTAGTGTATTTATTAAATATTGAACTCTATTTCATCGTTATCGACAAAAACATCGTTATCGTTATCCCATGGTTGAAGTCATTGTTCACACCACAATAATCCTCCGACCATGTAGTGATCACGTTGCCACTGGATCCTTCGTGGCTTTTAGCCGATCCACTAGGCATCAAAATGGGCACCAATTGCGTGCCACTAGCCACTAGTCTACCGGTTCGTGAACCAAAGTTCTTCGAAGCATCATCGTGTGATTTTACAACTCCTATAGAAACGTTATTTCCAACGTTGTTGCCATCTACCGGCATCTCGAAATGTGCAACACCGTTGCTGTTCCGATCATTTGAATGTGCACCACGAGCAACATTCACGGTTCCAACACTTTTGAAATCCATCGACTTATTCATCAAAAATAAGGTTTTAAGATTGTAAGAAAATGAACAAGTCGATTACCACAAAAATAATATATATATATATATATATATATATATATATATATATATATATATATATATATATATATATATATATATATATATAACAAATTGGAATTTTATAATCTTCCAGATTATAATTCCAACCAACAACTCTACAAATATAGAGAAATGGGATTTATTGTTGAAACATAATCCCACTTACATGAACCGAAACGAGAAGAATTGAAGGCGAGCCTTCACACAAAGGGAAGAAAAGATGCTGAGGGTAGGTGGTTAGTACGAGTGGAGCGAAACACTCTTTTGCTTAAAACCTTATTTGCCGCCTCCCAAAGGTGCTAGGAGCGTTGCGGCCTAGGCTTCCCAGGATAAAACGTACTACGATTCTAAGTTAGGAGCACTCTAACATAGAAGCCGACGAACGAGAGCAATGAAAGAACAATCAGTTGGCTAAGAAGTAGGAGCAGAGTTTTGGAGAGAAAACTAACGATTTATTCGTTCTTATTCATTGTTCATCTTCTTGTGAAATCTGCTACCTTACAAAGAACTTATATATGAATTGAGGAATTCAATAACATTCAACAATGACATTAAACTCAGGTTTAAAAACATATTATAACCTTCAAAACTGACCATTTAACATGGAGATAAATTCTGGAATTAATTCTGTAACGGCTGAATTAACCCTCCAAACAATCACTAAAACGGTACAGTTGCCTGTACCGTTTTGGAAGAAGTCTACCACTTCGCCCCGAAAGTCGGCCACTACGGTACGTACCACGTGAACAAACCGCTCCGGAAGACTTCGCTCCGAAAGTCGGCCGCTACGGTACGTACCACGTGAACGAACCGCTCCGAGAAGACTTCTTGGGTAGCTATACGTGTTGGAAAAATATTTTCGGAAAGTTGGCCCGCAATGTCAGCCAATTTTTTGGACAACATTCGTGTTCATTTTGGGATTTAATTTGCACCCCCCCTGCGCGAGAAAGAGCACCTCTATGCTATACAATTCAATAAACTTTAGAAAGACTCTTGTATAAATAGTGGTGCAAACCCACTTCCCAGGGACAAGAACTTCTTTAAAGCCTTTTACCCTTCATTTTCCAACTGAAATGAGTCTACTCTGAGAATCAATTTCTCTTGAGCCTACAATATATCAATCTCTTCGCCTTACTACGAACAACTCAAATCCACTTTGACCCGACCATTCAATTTCTAGAAGGCTATCAAAGACTGTTGGGTTTTGTGATTTCTATTCCTCTTTTGTTAGTGTTGATTCTGAATGGAGAAGTAAAGAAAACGAGGAATATTTTCGTTGTGCTCAAGGTGTACCTAGTATGGCCATGGAACATGTGAAACTTCTTTCACATGCTAGAGAGATATATATTATTGAGATATATTCACTACTACAGAATTCACATATAACGTCGGCCTTTTAACGTCGACTATTTATTTAGCTGACGTTAAAGCCTATTTAATTTTATTTTTTTAAAAAAACATAAGTTATTAGGTATATATTTTGAATTTTATAAGTTATTAGTTATATATTTTTCTGTGAATTTTGATGTTGTTGAAGCTGGAACCCTAGTGATTATTGCTGATTAGAGCTCTAATGTGTTAGTTTTTGTCAAATTGCTTATGTCTGTCACTGTTCTGATTGAATCACACAGGAAATAGTGAAGAACATACTAGGAACGAAAAGGAAGACTGTAACACCCCAGATTTTTGAAACTTTTGAAACTTATGTAAAGAAGGTAAAATCTCATTAAATCCCAAAACATAATACAAAGAGTACGGGGTGTTATGCCACACCCGAGCTAGAGAACTCAGGTGCACAGGCTAAATTCTAAAACCTCAATCAGTATCAATACAAAATCATGGCACGCAGGCCGAAAGGGAAAACTATCTAATCTACGCCCCAAGCTTCTAGCGCGCTCTAGTGATCTACTCGTCTGTGCCTGAAAGACAAATATATCTATTCAGCGAGAGATGCTGGTAACCCACTCCAACGCATTGAAATACAATACATATAGATATATACGTAGTTATACGAAAAACCATTTCGAAGCATGAAGATATACCCTAAGAGACTCTAGCTTCCAAAATAGGGAATAGACTCAACAGAACGGGCTTAGCACAGAATACGGACATAATCGAGCATAAACAATTCACAAGCATAGGGAAACAGGCAAGGCGGATAAAGATAAGCACAGTTAATATCCATAACCCAACATATACGATTCACGGCATAAATCCCAAAGTCACCTCCCGAGACACTCATAACAACAACTCATCCATATCTCATCACATAGCACACTTTGCTGGCGCCACAGGACCAATCGCATGCCCATACATGAGGGTCAGCGCATATAGCTCTGACACAGCCCCGCAGCACCCTGCCCGGTATCGCAACACGGAGGGGTCGATCGCAACCGACCAATAAACCGCAGCTCATCATAGTTTGATCGCAACCAAACAGTGGACCGCAGCCCAAGAGTATGTCATCTGACCGCAGCCAGGAAATATGAACTGCAGCTCATGTAGAAACGTTTGATCGCAACCAAACGGTGGACCGCGGCCCTATATAATATTTATATACCTACCGATCGCAACCGGCCTGGTTAACAGTCAATATGGTTCTCAACCCATCCAACTGCCCGTATAACCAATTTGATCGCAACCAAATTGGGGTATCATGCACACATAACACATAGCAAGCACATGCAACCCACATTAACACATTGGGAAGGGGGAGAAAACGTATAACAAAACCTATGCGTGATCCTTCACATATTAAGAATAATCCTAAGGGGTTCATACTTCTTTCACATAGGTCAACGGGATACCAATTCAACTGGCATGCAATATATAAGACTCATACAACCTACGAACATGAAATATCAAACTAGACATAGGCACGATAGACGGAGTCTGTTGGGACACCACGGGGGTCGGGGGAACATCAAACGGGAAAGCCGGAAACCCAAGGTAGGGTATTTTCCAGCGGGTAGCCGGTGGGTGAGGGTTCACCCGCCGGCTGCCCGCCGGTGGCGTGACTCCGGGCAGCGGGTGCCCGGCGAGCAGCTGCTCGCCCGCCGGCTGCCCGCTGCCGGCGTTGCCCAAATAGGCCACGGGTAGGTGGCGGGTCCCCTACCCCCCACTGACTCTTTTTCACCAAAAACGCCCTGGGAACCTTTGTGGAACCCGAAACCATGCTTAGACACTTTCAAACGCAATTGATAACACACGTAGACAATTAACGGATCAAAATCATGAAACATACGGCACATAAGCTATCATGTTTTTCTAAACATAATCAACACCCAAACATGCAAATTCCCACCCAATCTACCAAGAATAATACCATACAAATTCCACGATATAACCTAGGGTTCTAATTATTTTTAAATCAACAAGAACACAATTCATCTTCTAATATCACAATTCGGTAGGAATATCATATAAACATCAAGAACATCATATAATCATCAAGAACATCAAGAACACCATATAATCATCAAGAACCTCTTAACATCAAGATTACCCATGGAGTCATAACACCAATTATCAAGATCATTATAACGAATCATCAACACACAAGAATATGGGGGAAATCCTAAGAGGGGAATCATAGCTATGAAAATAGGTTTTGTTGAGACATGGGTTACCTTTTAGCCTTAATTAATTCCTTGGCTATGAAGGGTCTTTCTTGAAGCTTTTTTCTTTCTTGATTTCTCCTAGGGGAATTCTTGGAACTTCTTGTGTGGTAAGGGATTATTGTGGTGGGGGTTTTAGGTTCCTCTTAAGTCCCCTATTTATATACCTAGGAGTCCTAATTAGGAACTAATATTATAGGCTTGCTAATTCTATTCCTTTTAGGGCTAGGGGTTGGGTTTTAGGGGTGAGGGCCCACGGACCATGGTGGGCCTTTTCCCTAATTAATTATTGTAATTTAATTCTTTCTTTGGATAATTGGTTAAATGATTAATTGGTTTTAGGGGTCGTAACACGGGGTGTTACAATCTCCCCCCCCCCCCCCCCCCTTAACGGGAAGCTTCGTCCCCGAAGCTTGGTTCTTGTCGGGCGACTCTCTCTTGGTTACCTGGTGTGAAGAGTTCGGGGTAGCATTCCTTCATTGTGTCCTTGAGTTCCCATGTTGCTTCTTCGGTCCCATGGTTGGTCCAGAGGACTTTTACCATTTCTATGGCCCGATGACGGGTGGTTCTTGTCTTGGTGTCCAGGATTCTTACGGGTCTTTCTTCGTATGCTAGAGACTCGTCGAGGTCCACGGCCTCGGGTTGTAGCACGTGGCTTGGGTCGTGCACGTATTTCTTTAGCTGGGATATGTGGAATACGTTGTGTACTTTTTCTAGTTCGATGGTAGAGCGAGGCGGTAGGCTAGATTCCCGACCCTTTCTATGATTTCATAAGGGCCGATAAATCGGGGGCTGAGTTTTCCTTTTCTTCCGAATCTCATTACCCCTCGTGTTGGTGAGATTCTCAACCAAACCTTGTCCCCCGGGTTGAATTCGGCTTGTTTTCTCTTTAGGTCGGCGTAGGACCTAGGTGGCGTTGAGGGAGTGGTTAGCCTTCCTGCTTAGGGCGTCTGCCACAATGTTAGCTTTTCCCTCGTGGTACTGAATGTCTAGGTCGTAGTCTTTTATGAGTTCTAGCCACCTTCGTTGTCTCATGTTTAGGTCTTTCTGGGTGAAGATGTACTTTAGGCTCTTATGGTCTGTGTAGATCTTGCATTGCACTCCGTATAGGTAGTGCCTCCAAATTTTCAGCGCGAATACGATAGCGGCTAGCTCGAGGTCATGGGTGGGGTAATTTTCTTCGTGGGTTTTGAGTTGCTTGGATGCGTATGCTATTACCTTGCCCTTTTTGCATTAACACGCAACCCAACCCCTTTTTGGATGCGTCACTGAAGACCTCAAATCCCTCCACTCCGGAGGGGATAGCTAGTACGGGTGCCGTGGTTAGATTATCTTTCAATTCCTGAAAGGCCGCGATGCAGTTGTCGTCCCATCGGAAGGGGGTCTCCTTTTTCATGAGTTTGATGAGAGGTTGAGCTATTTTAGTAAAGTCGGGTACAAACCTCCTGTAGTAACCAGCCAGGCCTAGGAAGCTGCGGACCTCTGACAGCGAACTTGGTGTGGTCCATTCCTTAACGGCCCGGACCTTGGCGGGGTCTACCTTAATTCCTTCTTTGGTTATCACGTGGCCTAGGAAGGCCACACTATCTTTCCAGAATTCGCATTTGGAGAACTTAGCGTATAGTTGGTGTTCTCTTAGAGTTTGCAAGGTGATGCGAAGGTGCCTTTCGTGTTCTTCCTTGTTTCGGGAGTAGACTAGGATGTCGTCAATGAATACAATGATGAAGTCATCCAGGTGGGGTCGGAAAACCCGATTCATGAGGTCCATGAATATGGCGGGTGCATTGGTGAGTCCGAAGGGCATTACTGTAAATTCATAGTGGCCGTAACACGTCCGGAAGGCCGTTTTCTGAATGTCTGGTTTGGCCACTTGTATTTGGTGATATCCAGATCTTAGGTCAATTTTCGAGAACACCCCTGCCCCCTTAAGTTGGTCGAACAAGTCATCTATCCGGGGAAGGGGGTACCTGTTCTTTATTGTGACTTGGTTAAGTTCCCTGTAGTCGATGCATAGGCGCATGCTCCCGTCTTTCTTTTTAACAAATAGTACCGGTGCTCCCCATGGGGAGGTGCTGGGGCAGATGTAACGTTTATCTAGCAATTCCTGGAGTTGTGTTTTCAGTTCCTTCATTTCTTTTGGTGCTAGCCTGTAGGGTGGTTTAGAGATCGGGGCAGCGCTAGGTACGAGGTCTATGGTAAATTCGACTTCCCTGGCTGGGGGTGCCCCGGGGATTTCGTCTGGAAAGACGTCGGTGAATTCGTTTACCACTGGAATGGATTGTGGTTCGGGTGGTTTGGTGTTGAGGTTCTCAACCGAGCCTAGGAAGGCCTCGCTTCCTTGGTTTAGGTACTTCTTCATTTTCATCATGTTCACAAGTTTGATCCCCGGATCCTGGCGGGTCCTGCAGTATGACACCCTTTTTCCGTTCAGTCCCCGTAGGACCACTTTTTGTTCTCCGCATAGGATTTGTGCTTGGAATTTCCCTAGCCAGTCCATGCCCAAGATCACTTGTACCCCATCCAGTCCGAACTGTATTAAGTTGCTGGGAAAGTCCACTCCCTGGATGGTGATCATTACGTTCTCGTACATGCGGTCGCATTTCATGATTTCGCCAAAGGCCACCTTGACCTGGAGTTGGACTTTGGTGCTGGCGTTAAGGCTGAGTTGAGTGGCGAACTTGGTTTCTATAAATGAGTTGGTAGCCCCTGAATCAAATAGTATAGTGGCGGGGGTAGCGTGTACTAGGAAGGTTCTGGAGACTATGTTGCTGTCTCCGATCCTGGCTTTGCTTAGGGTGAGGATTCTTCCCTGAGTAATCGGTGTCGTGACCTTGGGGGATGAGACGGTCCTGGAGCTTTTAGGTCCTCGGGTGGGATTTGTGCGATTCCCCTCAGGTTTCCTTTTGTACCCCAGGTGTGTCTCCCGGGGTTGGTTTGTTACTTGTTGTAGTTGGAATGCCTTGGCATAGGCTTCCCCGAGGGTCTTTGGTTCTTGTGTGGCCAGTGCTTTCTGGTGTTCGGAATTAAGGCCTGTTATGAACTTCTTGACCTTGATCATCTCGGTGGGTACTAGCTCGGGGGTGAGGCGAGCCAGTCTACGGAATTGCTGGTAGTATTCCGTGATCGGGGCTGCCCCTTGTTTTAGGTGGAGGAACTCTTCGTATATGGTGGCTTTTAGATGGTCGGGATAGAATTGTTCTCGCAGCCGTGTTTTTAGGGTTTCCCAGTTGAGTTTGGGGCTTTGTTCGTATGTTGGTCTCTCGTGGACCCACCAGGTGTCGGCCTCGTGTCTGAGGTAGAAGGAGGTTATTTTGACTTGGTGGTTTTCTGGGCATTCGGTTGCCCGAAATATCTTGTCAAAAGTTCCGATCCATTCCTCGAGGATCGTGGGGTCTTCGTTCCCCGAGAAGGTAGGTGATTGATGTGCCGAGACTTGGTGGTGGATTTCCAGGTTCTCGTTTGTTGGTAAAGGTTGGGGAATGGTAGTACTCAGTGCCTGGGAAATTTGGGCCAGGCGTTGTAGATTTTGGGTCAAGAATTCCTGAGTGGGGAGTTTCGGTGTTCCTGTTTGTCTCCTTTTTGGTGTCATCCTGGTGTTCATAGGTCGATGTTATTTTGCATTCTTACCTTGATGCAATAAGTGAAGGGGAGAGTTTCTTTGAGTTAGAGAGGGATTAAGTGAGGGGGCTATGTGTAGGTTTCACAATCTCACCGCGCGTCATACGATTCCTGAATCCTATGTTCCTAAGTACCTAGAGCTTAAGCTTAATGTCCTAAAGTCTGGTCTTAAGAGTCTTATCCTAGGGTCAAACTTAGGCTCTGATACCAACTGTAACACCCCAGATTTTCGAAACTTTTGAAACTTATATAAAGAAGGTAAAATCTCATTAAATCCCAAAACATAATACAAAGAGTACGGGGTGTTATGCCACACCCGAGCTAGAGAACTCAGGTGCACAGGCTAAATTCTAAAACCTCAATCAGTATCAATACAAAATCATGGCACACAGGCCGAAAGGGAAAACTATCTAATCTACGCCCCAAGCTTCTAGCGCGCTCTAGTGATCTACTCGTCTGTGCCTGAAAGCCAAATATATCTGTTCAGCGAGAGATGCTGGTAACCCACTCCAACGCGTTGAAATACAATACATATAGATATATACATAGTTATACGAAAAACCATTTCGAAGCATGAAGATATACCCTAAGAGACTCTAGCTTTCAAAATAAAGAATAGACTCAACAGATAGGGCTTAGCACAGACAACGGACATAATCGAGCATAAACAATTCACAAGCATAGGGAAACAGGCAAGGTGGATAAAGATAAGCACAGTTAATATCCATAACCCAACATATACGATTCCCGGCATAAATCCCAAAGTCACCTCCCGAGACACTCATAACAACAACTCATCCATATCTCATCACATAGCACACTTTACTGGTGCCACAGGACCAATCGCATGCCCAAACATGAGGGTCAGCACATATAGCTCTGACACAGCCCCGCAGCACCCTACCCCGTATCGCAACACGGAGGGGTCGATCGCAACCGACCGGTGAAACGCAGCTCATCATAGTTTGATCGCAACCAAACAGTGGACCGCAGCCCAAGAGTATGTCATCTGACCGCAGCCAGGAAATATGAACCGCAGCTCATGTAGAAACGTTTGATCGCAACCAAACAGTGGATCGCAGCCCTATATAATATTTATATACCTGACTGATCGCAACCGGCCTGGTTAACAGTCAGTATGGTTCTCAACCCATCCAACTGCCCGTATAACCAATTTGATCGCAACCAAATTGGGGTATCATGCACACATAACACATAGCAAGCACATGCAACCCACATTAACACATTGGGAAGGAGGAGAAAACGTATAACAAAACCTATGCGTGATCCTTCACATACTAAGAATAATCCTAAGGGGTTCATACTTCTTTCACCTAGGTCAACGGGATACCAATTCAACTAGCATGCAATATATAAGACTCATACAACCTACGAACGGTACCCGAAATATCAAACTAGACATAGGCACGATAGACGGAGTCCGTTGGGACACCACGGGGGTCGGGGGAACATCAAACGGGGAAGCCGGAAACCCAAGGTAGGGTATTTTCCAGCGGGTAGCCGGTGGGTGAGGGTTCACCCGCCGGCTGCCCGCCGGTGGCGTGACTCCGGGCAGCGGGTGCCCGGCGGGCAGCTGCCCACCCGCCGGCTGCCCGCTGCCGGCGTTGCCCAAATAGGCCGCGGGTAGGTGGCGGGTCCCCTACCCCCACCTACCCCCCACTGACTCTTTTTCACCAAAAACGCCCCGGGAACCTTTGTGGAACCCGAAACCATGCTTAGACACTTTCAAACGCAATTGATAACACACGTAGATAATTAACTGATCAAAATCAAGAAACATACGGCACATAACCTATCATGTTTTTCTAAACATAATCAACACCCAAACATACAAATTCCCACCCAATCTACCAAGAATAATACCATACGAATTCCACGATATAACCTAGGGTTCTAATTATTTTTAAATCAACAAGAACACAATTCATCTTCTAATATCACGATTCGGTAGGAATATCATATAAACATCAAGAACATCATATAATTATCAAGAACACCATATAATCATCAAGAACCTCTTAACATCAAGATTACCCATGGAGTCATAACACCAATTATCAAGATCATTATAACGAATCATCAACACACAAAAATATCGGGGAAATCCTAAGAGGGGTATCATAGCTATGAAAATAGGTTTTGTTGAGACATGGGTTACCTTTTAGCCTTAATTAATTCATTGGCTATGAAGGGTCTTTCTTGAAGCTTTCTTCTTTCTTGATTTCTCCTAGGGGAATTCTTGGAACTTCTTGTGTGGTAAGGGATTATTGTGGTGGGGGTTCTAGGTGCATCTTAAGTCCCCTATTTATATACCTAGGAGTCCTAATTAGGAACTAATATTATAGGCTTGCTAATTCTATTCATTTTAGGACTAGGGGTTGGGTTTTAGGGGTGAGGGCCCACGGACCATGGTGGGCCTTTTCCCTAATTAATTATTGTAATTTAATTCTTTATTTGAATAATTGGTTAAATGATTAATTGGTTTTAGGGGTCGTAACACGGGGTGTTACAAAGACAGAGCAGATTACCTATTCTAAGAATGGTCTCAAAGAGGTAATTTTTAAGTACCATGAATAAAAACTTTAACATAGTTTATTTTATCATTTTCATGTTAAGTTTATGTACTATAGAGGGATTTTGTGCTCCTTGTGATTATGCAGGGCGAGAAGGAGATAAAGTCCATCGAACCCCATAATTAGTTGAGTTCTACCAAACATTAATGAACCGGAAATCAAAGAAGGATTCATCATCGCCTTTGATTTCTTCCACATCAAGCACATCAGATGCAAAGAAACAACATGATTGGGGAGATAGCAAACAAATCCTCCTTCCTTTTAGCTGTATGTAGAATTTCCCATTCGATTCTTTACCAAATATATGTGTTTTATTTATCCAACTCTAAGCAAGAAAAGGATTGTATTGATCAGGTGAAAGCTGATGTTGAAACTCAAGACGATCTCATCCAGTCACTAGCATCTAAAATCCGTGCAATTTCCTTCTCCAACATAGACAGTTTGGTGGCATTTGTGAACTGGCTAGATGAAGAGCTCTCTTTCTTGGTATATCCTTTTGAGCTTTAGCAGCTTTGCTGATAATTATTCCTCAATGAGGATATTCATGAGCTTTGCTGATCATATAACTGCATTTTTACTTGTAAAGTTATTGGCTTTTATTTTGATCTTTTCGCAAGGTTGATGAACGAGCTATTCTTAAGCATTTAGATTGGCCAAAAGGGAAAGCAGATGCATTACGAGAGGCTGCATTCGAGTACCAGGACCTAATGAAACTAGAGTAAGTTTCCTCGTTTGTTGATGATCCCAATCTTTCTTGTGAAGCTGCATTGAAGAAGATGTACAAACTACTTGAGAAGTAAGTGATATGTGCATATTCATATCTGACATCTTAGTATAGACAACATCCCAATCTTTCGCTGTTTATGGGATGAAAACGCGGGAACACAAGTTTTTTTTATTAGGTTTCCCAACTTACGCTAGACTAGAATATTGAGTTGATTCTGAACTTAAGAAGAAATTATGCTTTATTTAGCGGATAGTAAACATTTTCTCCTTTTTCATTCAAACTTTCAGGGTGGAACATGGTGTTTATGCACTTTTGCGTACAAGAGACATGGCTGTATCACGATATAGAGAATTTGGCATCCCTACAGATTGGTTACTAGATTCTAGCGTGGTCGGAAAGGTATGCATTTGAAACTATTTGTCACTAGAATGTCTACAATAAACTACGAGAACCGCTGATAATGTGCATTTATAGAGCATTTGCTTACAACTTTGGAGGAGGACGTAAGCAGTTTGTTTGTTGATAATGTGCACAAAACTAATTGACGCATGGAGGCACTATTTGAGTCTCCAGTTCCCTAAATGTACACACAATTTTTTTTATTTTTTTTAAATAACATAACACGTCGATTTTTAACAAAAAACCGACGTCATATGTTAATTTTTAAAAAAAGTTAAATACATAAAACATCAGTTATTTCGTAATAACCGACGTTGGAAGTTGTATTAATTAAATAAATAAAATATACGACGTCGGTTTTTATTTAACCGACGTCGTCTGTTCACTATACAACGTCGGCTACATCAACGTCACTTTTTAACCAACGTTAAAAGCCATCTATGTAGTAGTGATTTTTTGTTTGAGGAACAATTTTTTAAAGGCACTGCTTTGTCATTAAGAATGTGTTTTGAATGATGGTTATCAGTACAAGTATCATGTGTGGTGCCTTGATATAGATGTTATAAGGCATGAAGTTAGGTTTAAGTCCATCGGTTTTGATATTTGTCGTAGTTATAAGTTGTTTTCTGAAATGGGAATTCTTTGCTGGCATTGTTTACGTATTTTGAATGTACATTGTGTCTATACTATTCTTGGTAAATACATTCTGAAAAGATGGACTAAAAAGGTTGTTGAAGGTACGTAGAACTGTGGCCATTGCTTCTTCGTTTTATAATGTTAGTATTGCTTCTTCCATTTGGGTTGTTGAGATGACTAGAAAATTTCAAAGATTGACTGTTTTTAGTCAAGGCAATAATGTAGCTAGACAGTTTTGTGAGGAAGCTTTTGAAAATGCAAAGAGAAGAATTGAAGCTGAGGTTGGTTCTGTGCATATTGAAGAGTTTGATGTTTCATCTCCAAGTGGTATTGTACAGAATCCTTGATGTCGGATATTGAAAGGTGAGCATAATAAAATGTGGAGTAGTATTATTCAGAAAAAGTATACTCTAGCAAGGAGTTATGCAAATACGGTTGCTTCAAATACAAAGGGTGTTGTTCAATCTTTAGCTTTGGAAAGTCTGCCCGAGATTGTTGGAGATGGATATTTTGCATTGTACATCCAAGTTTTGGGAGTTCATAGTTAGTTCATTTTAATAAGAGTTCAGATGATCATGACATTATGTTTATACAATTGAGCTTATGAACCTTTAAGTTTTAAATACATGAACCTTTTATAATTGTTATTTTGGGCGTATTTGATATTTGTTTTTAGAACTTACAATATGTTTTCTACTGGATGTTGTAAGATATTGTAAATTTTTTTGTATTTATTTTATGGTTTTTTTTTTTTTTATGATTGATGGCACTCTGTTTAGTGTTCACGGTTTCTGTGTTTCATGTTCATAATACCAAACTTTTAAATACATAATATATTTTTGCCTATGTATAGTTTGTCATACATTTAAAAATTTAACTACACAATTATTAAATTTTAAGGAGCCGTTTACTAACTGGAAATTTCCGGAAACTGAAAAATAGTAAACAGAAAACATGTTTACTAACTCAGTTTCCATTTTGAAAACTGAAAATAATTTCGGAAAATTTCTAGAAAACTAAAACACACTTAAAAACTGTTTTCGAAATGGAAAACAGAATCATCTATCATCTATTTAGTTATGTCACTATAATCACATTACTATAATTACATTCATTATCATCTTATTTTACTTATCACTATCTTCTATCTTTTCTAGCTACTTACTTTACTTATTTAAACATAATTTATTTGAATTGCTTACACTTTAAAGTTATACATTATTTACATTATCAAAATTAAGAATTAAATTCTATATAATGTTTTAGATTTTGATTGAACACAATAGATTATTAGTTTGAATATTTTTAATTATGTTATATCATAATACAAGTTCGGTCCAGATATCGAATATTGAAATCTCACATATATTAGAATTCAAAGTAAAAGTTATATATTCATATACATGTCATTCAAATGAATATATATATATAAATATATATATATATATATATATATATATATATATATATATATATATATATATATATTAGCTCAAAAAATATTAATATTATCTAAACTAAACTTTAAGTGAAAATTAAAAAATTAGAAAACAGAAAATAATTTTCTGTTAGTAAACAAGTTTTCTAAACAGAAAACAGAGAATGAAAACTGAAAAATTAGAAAACAAAAACTGAGAACAGTTTTCTGTGAGTAAACGGACCCTAAGGTTTTAGATATGTAGTGTTACCCTGTTTTATATGCTTAATTTCTATATTTCACGGTCATAATTCATGTTTTAAAAAATTTTAATTGAGTTACTAATCGAAATAATCCCTCGACTATAGCGAAATTACCGATTTGATTATCGACTATTATTTTTGCCTAATTAAGTCCTAAATTATAAAAATATTATCCCATTTGATCAATCAGCCGTCAACTGTGTGTCTAAATTGAGGGTATTTAGGAAATTTCAGTCCTCCATCATCTTCAACAACCCATCCAGCGCCCTCACCATCATCTGCCTCCTTGAGATGAGCCAGAAAGGAATCAAGATCATTACAGCACCCCATATCATCAAACATCATCATCTGATCTTCATAGTCCCAGAAACCTCTAAACCCAATAACACAATTGGGATTCAACAACCAAACTTCCAAATTGAGTAAACGAATCAAAGAGATGTGAAAATTCAAAAAATAGCCGTAAAAAACAACTATTATTTTCACAAATTCGTTGAGGATAAGCTGGCATGGAGGAATGGAAAGAAATCTCCCTCCTTTGTCAACATCCACTGTCAACTGATGGGGTAAATTTATGGTGTATACTGTAGTGGCGTGTGGAAGGAGATGGAGGAAGGTGGTAAAATGACAATTTGTCCCCATTATTGATAGCCCACTACCAGATAAGTTAACAGAAGACTAAATTAGATAAATACTGCATAATTGAGGACTTAATTGAGTAAGAAGAGTAGTTGAGGACTAAATTAGTATGATCATTTTAGTAATTAACTCTTTTTAATTTATTACACAAATTTTGGCTAGATTTTAGCTTTTAGGGTGTTAAGGATGTATGGTGTAGTATATAGTGCTCCCCCTGTTTTATGTTCACAATCCATATGTGTTATATTCATAATTTATGATTTATGATTTAAAAATTCACAATTACGTTTACACTTTATGATGTAAATTGGCATGATAAGTTTTTGTTTTTGTTTTTGTTTTTGTTTTTGATTTTTTGTTTTTGTTTTTTTGTTTTTGTTTTTAAAATTTGATGGTATTGTACCAATTCTACATCTCTCAGAGCTTATGAATTGTAATAATAAATTAGTAATGTGCTGCTTCTAAAAATTCACAATAATTCTAAAAAACTCTGTTACATACTTACATATTCACAAAATCTAGATTGAAACTATATAATTTGTGCACTTTTGTTCACAAAATCAATACTAGGTAACATAAATTGTTTAGTGAGTTTTTAGTTGATTTACTCTGTTTAAGATTCACAAAACTTTACATATTCTTATTTATTCATTCCTATCTAAATTTTCATAGCAATATGCAACTGATGTTACACTTTGCACCTTTGTGCTTTAAAATCTCTACATCATTAAAATTTCTATGATCATGTCAACTACAAAGGAATGTTATGCTGTGAGCAAGTACCGGCACGATTCAATATCCATAATTTTTATACTGCAGATTCATAATTTCAATACTAAGAAGAAATAGTTGATTTGACCAATGAATAGTAAGTAGGACATATCAAAATGTAAAACCTTAGAAGTGAGAAGCTTTTTCTTGGAGTTATAATTGTTGAAAATGTTGTTGTGCTTGAAGTTGAAAATGGTGAAGGAGCTGCGATGGAGATCGTGTTAATGGCGAAGAAGATTGTTGAAGACGATGAAGAGTGTTTTTTACTGCTTTAAAGAGAGAATTTTTACAGCTTCAGTGAAAATGGCGAAAAGAAAGGGAGGAAATGCTTTGAGAATTTTTTTTTTTTTTTTTAGAAAAGTGATTGAGTAAAGAAAACGGAGCCACTAATGGCATAGTTATTCTTTTTTTTGAAAAAATCAATCTGCCGATTGTATTAATTGATAAAAGCTATAATAGCGTCAGGAGGGATAGAATCCCAATACATAGAATGTTCCTGAGTAAAAGTTAACGAAGCTAAAGTATGAGCATGTAAATTAAACTGTCTAGGCACATAGCTTAACGAAATAAAATTAAATAAAGACATCATTGTCTTGCACTGGTCAATTATCAACCCAGCATACGAGTGAATGGGTGTAATTTGGTGGTGTATGGTGGATCGCAGAACCATACAGTCCGTGAGCACACTGGCCGAATTAATATTCCTTTCAGCTAACCAGGACAGTGCCTCTTTAAAAGCCATAGCCTCCGCCATGAGTGGTGAAAAACAAACGGGTGATCTGCCATTCTTTGCTGCCACAAACGAGCCACCGGGCTCTAATAACACAACTCCATACGTAGCCTCCCCGGTTTCTTGTCGATATCCTGCATCTATATAGCATCGCATGTGATTGTCGGGCAATACCGGTTCGGATCGTGGCTGTAAATCTTCTCGCGTGGCCCGGCCGTGTACCGCACCATAAGCTTTCAGCAATGATGCCGCCCCCTTCACAACAGTCTGCGGCCGCGGCATAGTTATTCAATTAGCGCATAATTACGTTATTTAAGACTAGGGTCTACCTTGCAAGGTGAACTTTGGTCCATGGTATAACAACTCAAGGGTCGTTATATTGTGGACCGCGATGCACGTGCACCGCGGTCAAAATGGCGTCGTTTCTTTAAGTAAAGAAACAGCGCGTCGTTAGTGTTAACGGAGCGCGCATTTTTTTGTATGTTAATTACCAACTGACACTACATTGTATCTAAATTGACATTACAGTGTATCTAAACCGACACTGCCTCATGTATTATTTTGATATTATCAAATGAAACTGCAGTTATATTAAAATGATACTGTAGTTGTGGTGAAATGAAACTGCAGTGTATATAAAATGAAACTGAATAACATTTCACATATTTGAGTGTATATTGTACAATGAAGCTGTAATTATATCAAAATGATCATGTAGTTGTGTTTTAATAAAACTATAGTGTATATAAAATACAATTAAATAACATTTTCACATATTTGAGTCTATAAATATCGAATGACACTGTAGTTATATCGAAATAAAACTGTAGTTGTGTTAAACTGAAACTGCAATGTATACAAAATGAAACTGAATAACAGATTTACTTTTTGCAGAAGGGTGCGGAACGACGCGAAACAGATACAGTTTCTTTTCATTAAACAAAACGACGTCATTTTGATGCGTGGTGTATAATCGATTATGCACCGCGGTGCACGATATAATTTGCCAACAACTCAATAAGCCATCTATTTTGTTCAAACAATTGAACCAACAACATAAGCCTAAACCATTTTCATTAATAAGTTTAGGTCTGGCCCAAGCCTATAAGCCTTATTATCTATTAATCATAAACATACATAAGCCCATATTCCACAACCCTAGCTGCCATATCACCAGTCAGGCAAGAGAGAGAGACGCCGAACGGAGTTGCCGGAAAGGAAAAACGGCCGGGGCCAGCACCACCGCACATCACCGTCACCCAGCACCGGCATCCCTCCTACTTTCTCTTCTCAGCCAAAATACGCCGTCTCCGACTCCGAGCAGAGCCGCCATCGCAATCGCCGAGCACTTCCGCCGCCATCCGGAGCCGTGACCCACCGTGGACTGCTGCTGCTGCTAGAAAGTCCAAATCGTCTGAAGAGTTTGTTGCGATTGTAATTCTTATTACAAATTTACAATTATGTATTTGAATTCGTATTTATCCTATTTGTGTGTGGATATTCATCTAAAATTCCTGCCTTGTTTTTTTGCAGGATAAATGGAACACGGTACACTCCATGATCAATCCAATGCTACTTTCTCGTTGACAGACGAGGATCATACACTCGCCAATGCTCTCAGATTCACCCTTAACCAAGAGTTCGTGTTTTTCTCTTTATCTATTTCATTTATTTATTTATTTAGTTTTAAATATTATATTGTTGTTGGAATTGAATTTTCAATTTTCAACTTCATATCTCTGCATTAGCTTGTTTGAACTCTTCTTTGTGTGTTTGTGTGAATTGATGATATTTTGGTGACATTCTGGTGTTATATTTGCAGTCCCAGAGTTGTAGTCTCTGGGTATAGCATTCCACATCCCTCTGAGGTTCGTGTGAACATAAGAGTTCAGACTACTGGTAAAGCTTCAGACTTTTTTTTTTTTTTTTCCTTCACTGCTAGTAAAGACAATTCTTGCATTACTTTCCTTACAGTTCTGCATCTCTATTACCATTGTATATCACCCCTTACTAGCTAGAACTTGTCTCTGTAATTTGTTTTACCTTTTGTCGGTTTATTGGTTCAACAAGGAGAATATGTTGAATGGTGTTGCGTAATTAACTTATGTCAATGGATAATTTTGAAGCCCTTTAGAACGAACAAAAATCTTTTTTAGTTTCTGTCCACTCTCAATCAAATTTGTGGTTTCATGTAATCTCTGGCCTTTACCCTTTTTTTTTTGGCAAAATTTAGTACATTGCTCAGGTGTTTGTACACAAAATTTGGTTGGAATTTTCAAATATTGCTTGTGACTATAACTTCAGGGGATCCAGCTAGGGAAGTGTTGAAAGATTCATTGCAAGATCTGTTGTTTATGTGCAAACACACTAGGAGCACCTTTGATCGAAGTGTTGCAAGTTTCAAGAAAGAAAAACGTCGTTTGAAAGACAAAAAATTAAGGAATACTTGATCCATAGCAACTCTTCACCTCACCTTGGATTTGCACGAGGATTGCAAGTATTTGAGGCTGTCATGTGTATCGACTGATTATACTCTCTGTTTGTATTACTTCGCCAACTTGTCCCTTGTTTTCTTAAATCGAATCCACATTGTCTAAACAGTAAAGCTTGAGGTTTTGGTACTCGCCCTTGGTATTGTTGTTATTATTATTATATACTATGTTTTTATTCAGTCAGTAGCTATGGATTTACCATGCAATTAAGCTTCTGGGGAAAGAGATCCTTGATGTAATACAATAGGTTGCCTTCAAGTTGAAGAATCTCAAGTCAAGAGGTTTATATCAAGTGGCTTGAACTTCCTGCTTGGCAGTGCTTTCTTTGGCTTCTTTTGAATTAGGGATGGGGGAACCTGCTTAGTAAAGTAATTACCATATGAAAAATATGAGATTCAGTATAACCAAGCCAAATTTTTTTGTGATTGTGTGTCCTATGTTGCATTGTTATGTTTTCTGTTCATAGGATTATTCTTGGGCTATTTAATCTTAACATACAACCCGTAAATGCTTTTAGGAAGTGAACCGAAAACACAAGGACCATATATGGCATTGAATAGACATTCTAATTTTTGGTAAAGTATAGAGAACTGAAACAATGCCCCCGAACTAGCGTCTGTGCTGGCTGCCTGGTTAGCCGGCGAATAGGCCTAGCAATTTGTGTATACTATTCGTTAACGAGTCAACATGATAACAACATGAACACGATACAGAAAATTACACTTTTGATCGTATGACTATTGGGGTTTCAATTAAAAAAAAAATCTAACAATTTAGTACTCTAACTATATAATTTTTAACACATTTGATGCACCCAATCAAATTACCGGCCAAATATCACAAGAAAATTATAACCCATTTTAAATTATATAATAATGGGGGCAAATTGCCCATTCTAATTGCGGCTTTCCCCTCTTGATGGCTAGCATGTATTGCCAAAATAGCGAGTGACTCGTCTATCATTCCACCCCCGGATCTTTGAGTGATCTCAACAGTGATGGCACAATCCCAGCCCTGCCACCCCAACCCTTACCGCTCTTACTTTATTACCTTGATAAATTTAAAGGTAGTTGTTGTATCCTTCTTTTCCCTTGGAGTCCCATGACACATCAAATCAATAAGAGCCGGGATGGCCCTAGCTGCTCCGATTGCCATTAAACAACTAATAAACTGAACATAGTTGTAGTTACGTTTTCTCTGGCTTCCGAGCTACCATTTCTCATTACATCAACGATATCAGGTATAGCACCTGCATATACAATAGTTCCCTTGTTAGCCCAGCATGCTCCTGTGTTCTTGAATCTGACGAGGAAAGTAGTTTGACTAGCAAAGGAATAGCTCCAGCTTCTGCAATACCGACCCTGTTATCTGCGTTTCTTTTTGCGAGCAAACGGAGCTCACCAGCAACTACCCTTTGCTGTTCAGGATTACCATTTGCAAGTTTTTGTAACAATGCATCAATGGCAGCCCGGTCACAGTCTGAACCACCAGCCCTTGACCTTTTGTTCCGGCTGAAGGAAACTGAAAATTGTATAATCACAACACAAATAATACAAGGTATAAATAGGATGAGACATGCGCATAAACAGGAAGTAGTTACAACAACTAAAGACCTATTCTACAAGAGTAAGGGCAACTAATGCAACAGAAGATGCAGTCAGTCTACAACTCCACATGTTGTAAATCATCCTTAATATGCCCCGCAAGATGGAGGATCTATCGAAGACGCCAATATTTGTCCGAAAAGACCAAAAAAAGACCACGACTATGGGGCTTCGTCAGCAAATCAGTAACCTGCTCAAAAGACCGTACATGAGCAACCCATAAAGAACCAGCAACCACACGCTCCCGAACGAAGAAACAGTCTAACGCCAAATGTTTCATACGGGAATGAAAACTGGGTTTCTACAAACATAAGTTGCACTAAGATTATCAGTAATCAAAAGTGGGGGGGAACGCAATGGAATACCAAGTTCACGTAGCAAATTTTGAACCCAAGTGACTTCAGCGGCAGCATTGGCTAAGGCTCGAAACTCAGCCTCAGTAGAAGACCGAGACACTGAACGATGCTTGGTGGACTTCCAGGAAACAACATTGGAACCAAAGTAAAGGAGTAGTCGACCTGCCATTGTCATGAATTCACACCCCCCCCCCCCCCACCCCACCCAATCCGAATCTGAATAAGCAGACAAAGTAAAAGGAACACCTCGACGTAAGAAAATACCAAGATGTATAGTACCTTTCAGATAACGGAAAACTCGGTTAACAACTTGCCAATAGAGTTCAGTTGGAACATGCATAAATTGAGACAAACGATTCACTACAAAGGCAATATCTAGGCGAGTGATACCCAAATATTGCAAACAACCAATCGCACGACGATATAACTGTGCATCAACCTGTGGACTATCACCAAGTTTGAGAATTGTTGAAGAACATAACGGAGTAGCAACCTCCAGGGCCGTTCCAATAAAAACGGAGGTCTTGTGGGACATCGTAATTTGGGCCCCTTTTCAACTATTTCATATATATAAATAATAAATAGTTGTTCAATTGTATAAATATGTTGCACTACACCAAAGGATCGAATTCCATACTTTGCCACAACTATTTGCAATATCACCATAATCAGTGGTCTAGGCGGCTGGCCGACTAGGCCACCTAAGCGCGGACAAAACCGCCTAGTCGGCTAATTAGCTACTGTTTCATTCTTTTTTAAATGGGTTATTTCACTCAAAGTGACACATCGTTTTGAGCAAAAAACCCTAAATTGTTCAAACTCTATATGTTTTTTTTTAAGTTAATATTTAATATTTTAGCATTAAATATTAAATAGTTTATAATTATCAAGTCTTAAAAAATTAAAAAATTTTAAACAAATTTTTTAAAAATAAAATAAAAAATATACGGACGCCTAGGTACCGATTAATCGCCGCCTAGGCGCTAGACTCCCCGCGAGCACTCAAGGAGTGCCTAGCGATTTTTTCAACCTTGTATATAAATATACAATTATTTATTTATTATTATTTTTTACAATTGTGCTCCCAAATTTGGGGTCCAATTGAAAAACAAAATTATATATATATATATATATATATATATATATATATATATATATATATATATATATATATATACACACACACACACATGTATACTATACAACAGGCAGTGCTACTTGCTGTATAGTATGTGTATATATAATTTTATTTTATTTTTTTTACAATTGGGCCCCCAAATAAAATTATATATATACATACTATATAGCAACCAGCACTGCCTGCTGTATAGTATATATATATATATATATATATATATATATATATATATATATATATATATATATATATTTATTTATTTATTTACTTATTTATTTATTTATAATTGGACTCCCAAATTGTGGGGGCCCTGTGCAAGGACCCTAACCAAACATGTGAAACTGCTCTAAAAGATCAACAATATATTGACTCTGTGATAAGAATAGACCAGAAGATGAGGAAATATCTTCAACACCAAGAAAGTGATGAAAAATGCCAAGGTCCTTAAGCGAAAATTCGGTAGCCAAACGATGTATGAATACATCCAAAAATGTAGAGTCAATATTGGTCAGAACGATGTCATCAACGTAAACCAAAAAATAAATTATTATTTGTCCTGATCGAATCACAAATAAGGAGTTGTTTGCCACAGACCTGCAAAAACCAAAATCTAACAGAAACTGAGACTGTGCCAAATATCATGCCAAGGGAGCCTGTTTAAGGCTATAAATAGCCTTCCGCAATCGGCAGACATGATGCATTTGGAATCAACAAACTCAAAAGGTTGCTCCATATAAACATTTTCACTTATTGTAAAACGACTGTTTCGAAATTATCAAGTAGTTTCCCTTATTATGATCATACAAGTGTTCAAAAAAAAATTGAGAGCTGTGATGCTACTTAAGCATATATGGTTACTGTGCTAATTGCAATACTTATTAGTGTTAATTACCATCCTTAATGATTTAGTATTAAGTTGTAAAGCCATTTTCGAAACAGAATACATATATATAAGTACAAAACCAAGAGTAATAGTCAACACAAGACTCAACACTCTCAACAACAACACGTCTGGAAGCAGTAGACAGACCCAGACGTGAATAACAGAGGAAAATACAAGAAGAAGAGATTAAGCCAAATAGAGACCGAAGGCCCTTCAACGAAGATTAAGCAACAAAGTCCTTCATTCTTTGGCCCCCGTTTGATTGGATAGTTGAGCTTTTGTGTGTCTCCTTGTTGTTACGTATGTCTAGAGCGATGTCTTAAGTATTCATGTAGGTGCCACTAAGGAAAGCGTTTTGATATCTAATTGTCTTAGATTCCAACCCAGTGATAAAGCAATAGTTAGAATTATCTGAATAGTAACTGGTTTAACCACAAGGCTAAACGTCTCAAAGTAATTTCGTCCGGGCTCCTGCAAAAAACCTTTAGCAACAAAGCGAGCTTTAAACCGATCAACAATACCATCTGCCTTTCGCTTAACCCGGAACACCCACTTGCAGGACATGGGTACACGACCATTCCGCGGTACCAATTCCCATGTTCCATTTTGCATTAGAGCCTGATACTCTGCACACATAGCTTCTTTCCAACGAACATCTGACAAGGCTTGACGAACAGTTCGTGGTTCCACAAATAGAGGCAAGGGATGAGAGGTAGTGACATTAACCAACTTATCATTGTAATATCGAGGATTGCGGAGTCGTGTCTCTGTGGCCATGAAGAAACAACCATCGGTGGATCCGGACGCGACTCAGAAGTGGTGGGGGTAGGTTGTTGAGCAGAAGTGGTGGAGGTTGGCTGTTGAGCAAAGGTGGCTGAGGATGTCAAATATGATTTGTTATAAGTGTTGAGACTGTCAAATATGAGTTGAGATCATCACGGGTGTAGCAATGATCTTTATGATCTGATTATAAATGTCATATGTTGGTCTATGAGCACGACTTGGAATACTTGAATCTTTAAAGTGGGTGTGTCAGTGTATGCATAAGTGTGTTTTCATAAATATCTATACTTCCCTATTTTCATATAATCAAAACCTACATTTAGCATACTTATAAATACATATCTATTTTAGAAACTTACCTCTATATGATTATTTCCTTTCCAACTTACAAATACATGGTTATACTTATCTACAGTGGCGGACCCAGGAATCTTCTTCAGTGGGGGCGAAAAATTAAACCTAATGAGATATATTTTTTAAAAATGAATTGAAACACTTAGAGACCGAGTCATAAATATTGTTGACTAGAGATAAAAAATCAAAATATATAAAGACAAAAAAATATTTAAAACAAAATATAAAACATAATTAATTACATAAAATAGTTTGAATGAAAAACACATTATAAATCACTCATCTCACTATTAATATTAAAAAAAAAAAAAAAAAAAAAAAAAAAAAAGAGAAGAAGTCTCAATGATACAAATAAAAAAATTCAATTAGAATTCTTATTATTAATATTAAAAAATGTCAAGAACAAAAGTTCACTCGTCTCACTATTAATATTAAAAAATGACAAAAAAGAAGCCAAACCAAATAAAATGAAAACAAAAAAGAAGCCAAAAATACAAGCTGTAGGGTTCGAACTCTAGCCATCTGCACAATTATTATACAATACAGCTTGTAGGGTTCAAACTCTAGCCATCTGCACAATTATTATACAATACAGGGGCTTTTAATTGCCATCTAAGCAAAACTAACTATTGGTTAAATCTTAGTATATATAATATATATAGTATATATATGTGGTGGGTGAGTGGGGGCAGCTGCCCCCACTGCCCCCACACTAGGTCCGCCACTGCTTATCTATCTATCTTTTCTTAAATAAAACTTATATTTCAATCACATATCCCCTCCCTTATTTTAGAAAACTATATTTATAACCTATTTCAAAACATGTGCATTATGCATGGAGTCTATTTTGAAAAGCAAGATTTTCAAACACTTATACTATCCCTATTTTCAAAGTGTGGGGAAAATGTATATTTTTGGAGGACCCAATTGTACTATGGTCCCTTCGGAAGAAATGATGAAAAGAAATTTGATGGAAAATATCCTGGATTTATGTATCAAAGTAGCCTGGTAGAAAACATCCTGGGTTTAGTTTTAGGGCTTGAGCTATTACTCGCTGGGTTTGGAATCCCAGTTAGGGGGTGTGCTAGCGGTCTTGATTCCAAACATGTGATTTCCTCCAGTAGCGAGCTACTGTTCCCGGATAGGTTCATTTATACATTGTGAAATTCCTACCTCCCAACTTTATGACGACACAGATGAGATTGATGAAGTTTCCTCCAGTATTACTATAAAAGAAATATTATTTTCTTGGGGTGAGAGTTGTGATACAAATGATATATTTGGGAAACTATCTTTATCATGATACTTCATTTACTTATGATTACGATTGAAATGCGGTTATTACTTAACCTTACTGGTTTACTTATCATGGTGGTATAAAATTAATATTTTATACTTATTTCCTTATACTATCATTTATAAACTACCCCTATTAACTCATTCTCTTTGATTTGCATTTGAGCACTTATATATACTTGGTGGATATTTGATAACTGTTCAAGCATAAGCGTTATATATATATATATATATATATATATATATATATATATATATATATATATATATATATATATATATATATATATATATATATATATATATATATATATATATATATATATATATATAGGGCTGAGTGGTTTATACTTAACATTTATGCTAACGGGTTGTTTTCGTGTGCTTTTGATAACCCTTTTTAGGAATGGATTGTTGAATGCTGAGCGCGCATAGAAGGAGTTAGATAGTATAGTAGTATTTTTTAGGAATAAGGGTCAAATAGGCCACTGAACTGCACACCAAACTACAATTAGGCCATCGAACTCAAAAAAGATGCAATTAGGTCCTTGAACTACATAAATTTATGCAATTAGGTCTAAAATGACCTGTTTACCTGCTATGTAGGTTGGGAATTTTAAAAATAATTTTAAACAAAAAATTAAATAATTAAAAAAAAAAAAAAAAAAAAAAAAAAAAAAAAAAAAAAACAGAACGGCTGGAGACGAAATCGTCTCCGACCGTCCTTCGTCTCCATGGCAGGAGACGAAGAACTTCGTCTCCAGCCATGGAGACGATCTTCGTCTCCTGCCATGGAGACGAAGGCCTTCGTCTCCAGGCGTCTCCGACCGTTCTGTTTTTTTTTTTTAAATAATTTTTAAAATCCGCAACCTTCACGTCAGCAGAGTAGTAGGTAAACAGGTCATTTTAGACCTAATTGCATCAATTTGTGTAGTTCAAGGATTCAATTGTTGTTTTTTTGAGTTTGATGGCCTAATTGCAACTTGGTGTACAGTTCAGTGGCCTGTTTGACCCTTATTCCTATTTTTTATTCTAGCTCCTAGTATTTAGTTACTCTATACCTTACCGTCGCATGATGATTAGACCAATGTAGGTTTTTGGATACCTCTCTTGGGTTTGTTTGGTGTGTGGACACCCAGGTATGTGAACCCTTACTTATGGATTGTGAGTTGTCTTTGGAGGTTTAGTCGGGTAGTCATCCTTGTATAGGTGACTACGGTGACAGTAGCATCCCCTTAAATATTTAGTTGGTTAACTCTTATGTTATAATCCTATATCATTGCCTTTATTTCTATTTCTAAGTATATGAATCATACTAGGCTCGCATGTTAAAATTTGGCGGTGTTATAGGTAATTATACTTAAGGTGATTAATAATAATTAAACAAAATGAAGGAAAATATTTACAAATCTCGATTATGAAATCTTCCTAAAGGAGTTTTGGATATGTTCCTTAAGGGGGTGTTTGGTTGGATGTAATTTGGGTGTAATTGAATTACAATTCTGTGGAAGGTCCAATTACGCCGTTTGGTTGGAGGGAATTGCAATTCCACCGAATTGCAATTCCCTCCAAATGTTGAATTGCAATTCATACCTCCCCCCTATGAATTGCAATTCGGTGTTTTGATGGGAGAAGAAAATGTAGTGTGAAGACCATTTTACCCTCCAATATTATTTTGTCTTATTAGCTTTACTTCCTTCTTTCCTTGTTTCTTCTTCCCCATTCATCATCCTTTCCTTTCTTTTTTCTTTTCCCTTCCTTATTCTTTCGGCTATTCTGTTTCTTCCCATTCTTTTTTCTTTCCTTTTTGTTTTCCTTTCGTCATCTTCCTTATTCTTTCCCCTTTCTTTTTTCTTTCCTTTCGTCCTCTTCCTTATTATTTCACCTTTCTACATATTATTATTATTATTATTATTATTATTATTATTATTATTATTATTATTATTATTATTATTACATAAGGGCGTTTCAGTCATTATATTACTTATTCCCTTTCAATTTCATGCCTTATTCCTGCGTACCAAACACTATAATTTGAATTCCTACTTTATTCCCACCTGCATACCAAACAGTGTAATTCGAATTCCTACTTTATTCCCACCTTATTCTTTTCCCACCGAATTACAATTCATTTTCACCCTAATTCCTTCCTTCCAACCAAACAACCTGTAAGTTGTAGAAATCTACTTTCTAAATTTGAAAAGGGAAATTCGAATGAAATTTGGTAAAGATTTCTCGAATATTCCTCCGAATATCCCAGCCTCGACTGCATGCACGGCCTAGTCGGGCCACCTTACTATCGCCACTACCTGACTGCTTGAACCTGACTAGGTACCCATCACTTACCATTCCAGAACCCTGTTTGTGCCTATGTTTTTTCATAATAATAAGGCTATGTTAAGGAATTTCCTCCCTTGACCAACAATAGCAAAGAAGGAAGCCAGCATACTCCAAAATTTCCTTTCTCCACTCAACTTTTTTTTTTTTTCACAATTTCTAAGAATAATTTTAAAATAAGAAGTATAGTCCAAAGATTTAGTTTTAGAATGATAACAATCGACAAAGATTTCGGGATTTATGCAGATAAATACACCATGAAAAGAATCGATCAACTTTCGGCGCCATTCTTGACTAATTTTAGCCTAGCCTCTCTCTTTCGCTCTGTGTTGTCATCAACTTCTCGTACCATCATTATTGTCTCCATACACATTAGTCAACACACCCATACCAAAAGGTCCAAAACGCACGAATTGACGGGTTATGTTTGTCGAAATGATTTTTTTTTTTTTTGAGGAATGTTTGTCGAAATGATAATATTACATACATAGATTACAATTTTTAATTAAATTTTACAATATTTTATATGTAGTGGGTGCGAGATTCTCTCATCATACAAATAAATAAATATATATATATATATATATATATATATATATATATATATAAATAAAAGGAAGGGTTCAGGTGCGGGTATAGCTTCCCGTGCGGTTAGATATGAGCCGTTGATCAAATTTAGATCAACGGCTCAAATCAATGAAAATTAAAAAAAAAAAAAAAAAACGCGTGTTTGGAAGGAAGAAGCATAAGCTAAAAATGACGCACCTTAAGTAATAGAGACACGCACCTTAAGTGATAGAGACACGCACCTTAAGTGTTAGATCTTAAGCACAAACTCACGCACATTAAGTACAAAACCTACCCACATTAAACACAATCTAACGCACATTAAGCACAAAATGTACTCACTTTAAATATTAACTCACAGGCTTTAAGTTTCAACAACTACTGACATTAAGTACAAACTCACGCACATTAAGTAAAAAACTCACGCACATTAAGCACAACTTCACGCACCTTAAGCACAAAACCCACGCACTTTAATTATTAACTCATAGACTTTAAGTTTTAACAACTACTCACATTAAGCACAACCCCACACACATTAAGCACAAACCTCACGCACCTTACGCACAAACCCCACGCATCTTATATATAAAACTCACGCATATTAATCACAGATCCGCTCAGCTTAATTTTGATCTAGATGCAAAAATTACAAAATTACCACCGTATTTTTTTATTTAAATTTTGATAATCTGGACGTTAATTTAAGCGAGATAAATAACCCAAATTAAACCGTGTATATATATATATATATATATATATATATATATATATATATATATATATATATATAGTACTGACTACCATATATGTATTGACACATATATTATCATTCTAAATGAATTATCACAAGATTAAACCTGGTCTTAATTCTTTAAGCTAAAAAAGATACTGAAGACTTAACACATGTAACGTATTTGTGAAGCATGTTGTCATATTATTAAGTAAAATATCTTTTAAAATAATTTCATCTATGTAACATTTTTTTATGGTTAACATATAATGTTATCATTCAATGTGACATTACCACACTGATTTCGGTACTTGTAGGCTTGTAGCAACTAGCCAACTATCATTTCTATACTAATAAATGTCACAATAACATTTCTTAAGGGGATATTAAATACTTCTTAAATTATTTTTCGCTTGTGGACATAAATTCATAAAATGGATTCCAAAGAGCCTTCTAAATACTTTTAAAAAAATATTTATGAATCCAAATAGGGAAAGAAAACAATTTGATTATGTTTGGTAAACCTAGCTGAAAAAGTAGTTGAAAGCTTAACATGAGGTGAAAGTTGAAAAGCTATAAGTTAGGAGCTGAAAACTGAAGAGCTGTTAATCTAGCTGTTATACTTGAAAGTGTTTGGTAAAATTAGCCTTTTGATAAGCTCATAAATGTAAAAAAAAAAAAAAAACAAAAAAAAAAACAAAAAATAAAAAAAAACAAAAAAACAAAAAAACAAAAAAACAAAAAAACAAAAAAACAAAAAAACAAAAAACAAAAAACAAAAAACAAAAACAAAAACAAAAACAAAAAAAAATGACATCTTCATAAAATTTAAATTAGTTTCTTTCCATATTAAATTTTAACATTTTATCTTCAAAAAAAAAATTTAACATTTTGAAATAAAATTATTAGCATAATCAAGATCTAGCATCCCATAATGAAGTAGCAATATTGTTGCGAATCTCCTTCATCTCATAATAATAATAATAATAATAATAATAATAATAATAATAATAATAATAATAATAATAATAATAATAATAATAATAATAATTGCGGTGAAAGTTGCAAGGAGAAGAGAAAATGATTTTAATTGGGAAGGGTAAAAGATCTCATTTCTTTAAAATAATAAGGACAAAAATAGGAAAAAAAAAAGTTAGGAAGCTACTAACTTATTTTGAAACGCGTTTCAAAATAAGCTTTTATTTAAGTTAGGAGTTTATTTTGAAAATATTACCAAACAAAGCTTATAACTTCTTAGTAGTTTAAAATAAGCTATAACCTCCTAAATAAACTCTGCCAAATAGAATTTCTATCAAACCAAAATTTAAAAGGAAAAAATATTTAACACTTATTAACGAATGCACTTAGTATTATTTTCATGATGAAAAGATTTTTTTTTTTTATAAAGTCATCACTAAAATGTCCATTCAACCTTTTGTTTTACAGAGCGATTACAACAACATAAGATCCATCCAAATTACAAATGCCCATGACCAACTTAACCTCTCTTTGCTTTTCTAATTATCAAAAGATGAAATTAACAACATAGCTAATTAATTGTCACACTTTAAGTATAAGTAGTACCTTGTTTGTATTTGCGAAACAGGTCCTCAGTTTTGGCATTCCTAAAAGCACAGCACCCAATAACATAAACCCAAACCAACCCCACAAGTGTAATCAACAAAATGATATCTGCCCTTCTCCATTCCTTCTTGAGATTTGCCAGTAAACCTGCTTTGCAAGAATCACAAGAGTAGCAAAGCTTTGTTTGGTCATTGTTCCAGTTTAGGCAGTCCATGTCTGCTGTCATGTCTATTGGGCTTATCCAATATGTTGGGTTAACATATGTGTACCCACATTTTGTTGGTGGTTTACAACATCCTGACTGCAATTCATTCAAAACATAATAAAAGATGGTTAATTAAGACTGAAGAATAACTTAGGATTGGTAGGTAACCCAGCCAAGATGGCTAAGGATCGGATATATATAAATTTATAATCATAAGATTATGAGTTCGAATCTTAGTCTTTTTGGTTTGAGCCGGTCAGTTATGGGCAACTCAGACTGATTTACCTTCTTGTACGTAGTCATTTGTTGGTTAGGATCTCAAGGCTAGTATTAGTCTTTTTTGTTTGAGTCCGTCAACTGTGGATATATAACCTAAACTGGTTTACCTAGCTCCTTGTAGTTATTTGCGGGTTAAGATCACAAGGCGAGATTTGTCTAATGTACATAGTCAGATATTGGCCGTGGGTTTCTTTCGTCAAGAATAACTTGGATTGGGGTATAACAAAAGGATGATTATTAAATTAATCACATGATTAAGGAATCTGGTTCTCTGCTTCTCTGCAATGCTATGACAGATATTTGGTTGATGTGAGAATCAATGCAAGTATTATTTGGGCGTGTGAAAGCAAGGAATAAATGTAGGTTAACATGCAATTTCCACTTTCTTCTGTCGTAGCCTTTGAAAAAGTTATCTGCAACACTATTCAAGTGTTTACTTTAAGTGTTCACTCCATCTGTCCCTCATTCCCAAAACTTTTTTTTAAGGAAAATAAATTTTTAAAGGTTGAATATTTATCTCAAATATTGTCGATTGAACTAGTGAGCTAAATCCGTGGAGCAAAAACATAAAGTATTATAATGTGTAATAACTAATAAGTGATATTCATGTTTCCAAAGAAAAAAAGTGATATTCATAATTAAAACAATATATAAGCCACCATATGTTCAACAATAATGTCTTATCAATTGTAAATTATAGAAGGGTAGAGTATAAGATTATTGACCCTATTTGATAAATGGCTGATAGTTGTTAGTTGATTGTGTTAATTAGAGAGTATAACTAGTTGATAATATTAGTTGATTGTAGAAATGTGCTTGGTAAATTAGCTGTTAGTTGATAGCTGTTTGGTATAATTTCTTTTCTCAAAAAGCTAATTAAAAAAGTTGTTTTGGGCAACTTTTTGAATTTTAGCATTTTGAAGTTACAAAAAGCTAATTAACCAAACACTTATATTAATTTTTTAACCAAGTCAAACAATTAATAGTGGTTAAATAAGCCAAAATTAGCTGATAAGCTAACTATTTTACCAAACAGGGCCAATATGTTTTAGGCAAATTATTCTCTGGACCATAACAAACAAAAAAAAATTTACTTTTTTAATATATTAAAAATACATTATTCGTGTATAGAAATAATATAATTTCAATACTCAAATAATGTACTTTTCTTGAATACAATATACAGTTTTAATATATTAAAAGTACATTATTTGTATATTGAATGTACATTATTTGAAAGTATGGTTCACACAGTTGTGTGGACCATAATAATTGTCAATTTTTTTTTTTTAAGGAAAGTCAATTTATTACCTATAGAGATTTTTTTTTTTTATCATTAATTATTGTGTCTAGGAAAGTTGTTGACAATATAGAGCCTATATAATTGTGTCCACAAATTTACGAAATTGTAGATACAAATTAAATTAAATTAAATTAGTAGATGCTGATATATTTCAATTAATTCATAAAAAAAAAAAAAGTTCATTCACAAGTAACCGGTCAACATAAAAAAATTGTAAAATTGTGTCAATAACTTTTTTACATAAAAATTGTTTAAAATTGTGTCAATAAGTAAAAAACTTAAATATAAAATTTTATTAATGCCATAGTGAATCATTAATTTGTTCTCACATTATTATTGTACCGGCAAAACTTTCTATTCTCAACAAGACTCTGCCATCTTTTGGGGAACAATAATCTAAAGCATATGCACTCACTTCGGATTAGTTTTTATTTAGGTATTAAGTGATAATAACGTAATAACTGCATCAGTGCACAACTGCACAATCTATTACATGAATATACATCTAATTACTTCAAGGTCTCTACTGTCATCCAGCATGGTTAGAGTAGGTATTCATTGCTGGAAATTATGAAATTTCTGATTACCTGAATGTGATCTTATATCAAATCGAAAGTAAAAAGTGGTCGGAAATAACAACAAAGGTTTTTCCGGATACCAAAAGTGGTCGGAACTCGACTTGATTTAAGATCATTTTCAGGTAATCGAAAATTCCATAATTTCCAGCAGTGATTGCACATTTATATAGTAGATTATTTGCACTCGTGCAGTAGTTCACATGTTCTCATCTAAGACATGATTTTCATATAAACGCAAGCCTATATGTATATAAAGAAAGAAAGAAAGAAAAATACCTCCATAGGACTGAGATGTGCATTGAAGAAATCTAGAGCACCGGTATAAGTCTGGTTCAAGTGAGCACACATCGGAGAGGAACTAAGGCAACTCTTGATCCTATCCCACTTATAGGAGCTTCGAACCCTCCGGCGAAGCCAGCCGGAGTAGTCATCAAGATGGTATTCCAAGTACGCCCGGCTCGGCTCCGGGTGGCCGGAGCCTCTAATGGTGACCATATACACGAAAACCACCAAACACGCCAGCAATATTATGAGCACAAGCATTGCTACGAGGTAGAATATAAGGAGCCATGGGATCCTCCAAAACCCTCCTATAAACCCCGCCAAGGCCACAATTAATGTGAGAACTCCCAAGATGATGACCGGCCATTGGAGAATCTTGACGCAGGAGTTGTCTGGCAAGGTCGCCAGCCAAACGCCGGCGCCTATAATGGGGATGGAGAGGAGAATGGCCACAAAGTTTATGCAACCTATGACATTGTTACTTAGTGCCATTTTTGTTTTGTTAATGAGCTAAGCTAAGGGCTCTCAAGATTGGTTTAATGGGTTCTTCTTGTGAATGGTCTTGAGAGGAGAAAATGGTAGGGGGATCGGAAATGTAAAGCAGATCAGAATAGGAGAGAAGAAAGGTGGACAAGATGGATGTTATCCAACCTAGGTTGCTTCCACCTTTTTTCACCTTATATCTTATTTTAGGCCCTAGTTACTTAATTAGTCTCGTTTATTATTGGGAAATGGTAATTTATGCCCCTCACAAATATGTTAATTATTAATGTCACTTCTGCATTGTTAGTGGTGTAAATGTTACCAATCATTTTTAAAACATGACATATATTGCCCCTTCCCTAATAGGAAGAAGGATAAACATTGTTGTCGGCGGAAGGAGAACAAATGAAGAAAGAAATTTGAGGAGAAAAAATGTGGTCTTCGAACAAGGAAAACGGCCGGTAACCACATCTGCACCACTAATAATTTAGAAGAGAGACAATATATGTCACGTTTTGAAAATTGATGAGCAACATTTATACCACTAACAATTCAGGGGTAACATTGATAATTGACGTATTTGTGAGGGAGATAAATTACAATTTTCCCTTTATTAATTGTTTATAACAAACTATATGGGATTTTCTAGGCTAATAATAATATTGGCTATAAATAAAAGCTATCTTTTAGCTTTCCGTTTGTAATTTATTTGGCTCCGATATAGACCAATTATAAATGTCATCATGATCCCTCAATTTTAAACGGTATAAATGTAATCCCTAAGTTGTAAAAATGTGGTCACACATTGTTCTCATAAAATCAAATGAGAACATGATACTCTTGTAAAAAGTGAGGACTCATCTTAGTTGCGAAGTTCATAAATGGTTGAGTTTTCATTAAAAGAAAAAAAAAAAAAGATCAGATCAATTTTATAATTATTACAAACTTTCAAGTTTAAATATTTATAAATTAAAATGAACCTCACACTTATTTTCTTGCAATCCTCAACTATTGATCAACCTAGATAAATGGATCAGATCGATCCTCACTTTTTACATAAGGAACTGTTCTCATTTATATGCTAATAGTTTAATATTCTATAATACCAAATACCACAAGAATCAAAAGGACAAAACAATTCAAAATAAAACTCCAAAATACTAATAAACAAGGAAATGTTATTCTAAGTTTCTAACTTAAGTTTCACTAACATCCTCATAAAAAAATACAGATTTTAAATCATGTTCATCAAATGTTAAGTTGGCAAACCGAAGAATGCCAACATCTTCAATGTTTGCAAACTCATCCCCTCCAACATCTCACATTTTTTACTTATCATCATGATATTCATTTGTATTTCATAACAAAGATGATGGTTATTATGTACAAAAACCAAGTTTTTAGCATGCTTTAGAGTTAATTTATTCCTTCTCCCAAAAGGTTAATTCTCAATTCCAATAGCCTTCAGACCCGACCCAACAAAGCATTTGGAATAATGTAAATCACGGAGACTCAATGACTCAAACAGAGTCAAATGACGGTGCACACAAGGAATCTGCACAGAGAATCTACCACAGTCACCCACCAATATAATTCAATTAATTAGAGAATTTAACATTGGATCCGGAAGATAGAGTTACTATTTTGGAGGAGCTAGCGAGTGGTGACTTTGAAGGGGGTTTTTTGATGCCCAATCACATTCATACTACTTTTTGAAAAGGGAACACAGTAAGGTTGTAAAGAGAAGAAAAGTAAAACTAATAGAAAGAAGAAATTCGTTTTGTAGTGTTGCTTGCCGGCCTCTCTCCCTCGATATATGAACCAGCAGCAGTGCGACTGAAGTTTGAAATACCCAGCAAAAGTTCATATTTTTTTAATCAAATTGAGGGAAACCCCAAAGAAAAGAATTTGGCTGGTTAAGGGTTACAAGAGAACTATCAATCCACTTTAAGTTTCAACAGTGTTGAATTAAAAAAAAGTTCTACTGTACAAACTCTCAAATTCTACTCCCTTGTTTGTACTTCTTGACATGGCAAACAAGAATTGGTTAATTTTCATCATGTAAGTCCACAAAGAAGTGTCTACATTTAAAACACATGAAAAGGAATAAAAATTGGAAGTATAAAATGTGAGTACACTAAGTATTTTCCATAAAAAAAAACTCTCAAATACATCTGCAACTCTTTTGTTCTCTACAAGCATGCATCATCTAAATTTATCATTTCTCCCTTGCACAACTCATATAAGTTCATCAACAGACCTCAAGAAACATCGGAGACCTTTATTCATTTGATTACCATCCATTCATGACTCACTCTCAAGTTTTAACCATGGCAAATTATACCATTACATGATAAATCTTGATCTAAAATAAAATTCAGATTATGCGTTACAGTTAACATATTATGTGTCTGTAAATAAATTGAAAATATATAATATGTTAATTACTGATACATATGTTAATTGAGGGTAGATAATATGCAATTAACATATTATATGTCTATAGTTAACATATTATGTGCATGTAGTTAACAAATTATGTGTCTTCAATTTCTTTATAGACACATAATTTATTAATTGAATGCACATAAAATGTTAACTACTGATACATAACTTTTTAATTAGGGTACACAATGCAAGGTGAATTATGAGTGTACCCATGGTATAACAATCGTTTAACCATTACACAATGATGCAATCCTTATATCATGGACCAGGGTTTACACTGCTCTATGGACCTTGGTTCATGTGCATGTGTTTGTGTTGTGACTCACTACTGGAAATTTTGAAATTTCCGACCACCTGAAAATGATCTTAAATTAAGTTGATATCAAAAAGTCCAAAAAGTGGTCGGAAATAGCAACAAAGGTTTTTCCGGATACCAAAAGTGGTCGGAACAAGACTTTCAACTTGATTTAAGATCACTTTCAGGTGGTCGGAAATTTCAGAATTTCCAGTAGTGACTTTTTGTGTCTTGTGTTATAAAAGTCTGTAACTAGAGTATGAATTTTGTACCAAGAACAAATTAGTAATTGTGTCTTATAAATATTATGAATTTTTGTGTTTTGTGTTTTGTGTTTTGAAATTCTATGCCTATGAACACAAATTATGTATCTAAATCGGATTTAAAAAATAACTAAATATATAACATGTGTATGTGTCTTGTGTTATGATTTTTTGTGTGTTGTGTTATGAAATTATGTACCTTATGAGTATGAATTTTGTACCTCGTCTTTTCAATGCAGTTGGGTCCATAATGATATGCTATGTGTCTTGTGTTGTAATTTTTTGTGTTTTATTTTAGGAAATTCTATACCTTATGAGTATGAATTATGTATCTTGTTATTTCAATTCAGGGTCCATAATGCTATGTGGACCATGATCTATGATATAAATTGCCACAATGATGGGCAAATTATTGTGTAAACCATGGTCTATACTGTGCTTTGTGGACCATAACAAAAACGTATATTTTTAATATACAAAAAATACATCATTCATGTACTGAATGTATATCATACAAAATAATGTACTTTTAGTACTGAAATGATGTACTTTTTCTGAATAAAATTTTTAATATACTAAAAATATATTATTTTTGTAATGAATGTACATTATTTGATAATATGCTCATTGTATCGACACTGATGAGTGATGACCTTCAGCCTAAACCAACTGTAATCCTCTTATCTAATCTAAAAACATAATAAGTGTCAATACAAGTTATGTCCTTGATTTTTGTCCCTTTTTTATATGCTAATAAATATATACATTTTGCTTTAATTGTTGTACATTCATTTGCATTGGACAAAATCACCCTTACACCATTATAACACCGTTAGTTTTTAATATATCTACCAATCTTACCATACACCTACATCTATCATATCTTTTTCCTATTTTTAATTATCATTTTATTAAAATTATCATATAACAATTAATTTAATTATAAATTATATTTTAATTAAATATTTATATGAATGTTAAATTATATATGTGTATCATATATATATATATATATATATATATATATATATATATATATATATATATATATATAATATGTATGTATATTATTTGTGTATCCATATCAATATATCATATATGTGAGTGTTAGCTTAGTATTATTTGTAAATTATTATTATATAAAAATATAATTTATTTATTTATTTTTTGTTTTAATCACTATATTATTCAAAAGTATCATCACTTTAAGAAATTGCAAAACATAATTTTAACTATTTTTTAAATTTTGTTACTTAGAAATATTTTAATATTAGGCATAAATTTTCGCGCATCGCACGTACAATATGCTAGTCTTAATATATAGCCCAAAGTCCAATCTCAATTATGCTACATGAACCAATATTGCAAATAAAGCATTGCAGCCAATTTCCAAAAATACTATAGTCTTGTGAGTCGTGAAGTAAAGCACCAGACCCAGCCCAATCACCAGCAATTATATTGTGGACCGCGGTCCACAAAATTTTGTGGACTATGGTCCAAAAACGACGTTGTTTCTTTAAGTAAAGAAACGGCAGCTATTAAAGCTTGACGAAGCGCATATTTTTTGTGTGTTAATTACCAAATAAAACTATAGTGTATTTAAACTGACATTGCCTCATGTATTGTTTTTATATTATCAAATGAAACTACAATTGAATTGAAATGAAATTGTAGTTATGTTGAAATGAAACTGCAATGTATACAAACTGAACCTGAATAACAAGTCCACATATTTGAGTGTATATTGTCCAGCGAAACTGTAGTTATATCAAAATGATATTGTAATTGTGTTGAAATGAAACTGCAGTGTATATAAAATGAAGCTGAATAACATTTCACATATTTTGAGTGTATATTGTGCAATGAAACTGTAGTTATATCAAAATGATAATGTAGTTGTGTTGTAATGAAGCTATAGTGTATATAAAATAAAACTAAATAACAGTTTCACATATTTGAGTGTATAATATCGAATGAAACTGTACTTATATCGAAATGAAACTGTAGTTGTGTTGAAATGAAACTGCAGTGTATACAAAATGAAACTGAATATGTTATAAAATCAAAGTTACTTTTTGCGGACGGCATGAAACAGCGCGGAAACATGTGCCGTTTCTTTTCATTAAAAGAAATGACGTCGTTTTGATGCCTGGACCACAATACATTATGGACCACTGTCCACAGTATAATT